CCTGCCCTGAGCAAATAAACAAAGGATCAGAAATAGGCTTGGTTTATAAAGCAAATATTCATTAATCTATTTAAAATGCCTGGATCCGGGCAGATCCTTTTGATTGGCTCACACCATGAAATTCCACATGCACACATGTAGCCTCAATACATAGATGCACCCAAATATGCAATCTGCCAAAGATGTGAATTGTGTTCATACAGCAGAGAAGTGTCATTTATTTTCTTGTATCAAATCCACACTACAAGTGATCCAAATGTATCCGTGCAGGACAGTGGATCCGATCTGTCTACACAAGCTTCCATTAACATTCAACTTGGCAGTGAGAGTCGCAGGTCTGCCATTCAGCTTATTTGTCTTTTCTTCCCCAGCTATCAGAATAAAGTGGCTATGGCTATCATACTGTGACCATATGCAGAGCTTAATGCTCTGATTACGTCATGCATGACCTGTCTTTTGAAATGAATATCAAGTAACCAAGACACGCTTCCATAATGTTTGCGCTTTCCAACAGTGCAGTTGTTTACAGAGCACTTGTAGATTGTACCTTGTGCGCTTTTGTAACTCTTGTAGACAACACATTTGATCCTAACAACAGCATTGCTCCATGCCAAAGTGCCTCATGAATAAAAGTGTCATTGTTTGTTCAATCTCTCAGCTGTAGCTTCGTCTTAAAATGTAGTTTAGTATCATGCAAAACCTTTGATTAGCTCGTGAAAATAGGTTTTAAACAACTCCCGAAGGACAGAGTTTGATGTGTGTCAGTGGAGTTCCTCTATTCCCTGCAACTACAATACAACTACTATATTCAATACAGGCCTAATAAAATGAGTTCACTTTAGTTACATAAAACAAACATGTTTCTCACGTATCTACTGGTATTTAGTTATTCAAATAGTTTCAATTTTATATGTCTATGTGTAAAATATTAATCTCTTGAGATTCCATATCCACAATATAATGGATATGACAGGAATTTAGTATAAAAACACTCACAGCATTGTCTTCAACAGCAATGTGTCACTCACAGCACACAATTATTTTCAATGGTGCAGACACAACAATCAAAATTCCTTTGACTTTTATTGACTGTGCTGGAGGTAGAGAAAGAGGAAAGGTAGATAGTTAAAACTTCAAATAAAACTGAAACTATGGAAGATTTATTTGTATACATGTGTAGATAGTTTCTCAGATAACATATGTTACCTGTTCCACATAGCTTTGCATAAGAGCATTAAACCCCATGCCCAAATTAAAGCTGGAATGTGTACTTTTAATAGTGACAAGTTTGCATAGGGGATTCATGCTTGTATCTTCTCATGGAAAATAGAGCAAAGAATATGCCAGTAATTGGGCCTTTGATAGAAATAAAACTGCACTTTATTGGCAGAGTAATCTCTCGCAGTATATTTTCCTGGTTATTATGAAATCACACAAGGTGAATCCCAAATTCTTCTTCTGTCTCTGTTATTCTGATCTAATGATTCCTTCAGATGTTCGCTAACTTCTCTGTGCCAACTTTATCAGACCAGGTGTTGTTCTGTGCTCTGTGCACGATTCAACCTAAGACATGGTCTAATTCAGGCTGTCCAAAAGGATGACAATAAAACCCTTTGATTGAACATTCAGTTAAGTCTCTCCTTATTGAAGGTTTATGGCAGCCATGTTAGTGGTCTCTGACAGACTGGGAGATAAGGCCAGACACTTTGAACAGAAAAGTGAACTTGATTGAGTGACTGTTTCAGAGTTTTCCACGACTGCCTCCATATTTCTCTCTTCCCTGCGGAGTAAGGCCCCTGATTGAACATGCGGCAGATTCACATAACCTACATGCAAGATTTTTACAATTGTCAACACTTCAGTTTGAATAAAGATGTCTCTGAAGTGAGTCATTCAAAGGTATTTGCAAAAGAGCGGTCCTCTGAGGAAAACAGCTGTCATCTTTATTGCTGGCACAATATTAGAAGCTGGACATAAGCCTTAACATGTGGGAGAATGCCCAGACAGACATCTCTGAGGAAAAGTTACTCATAGATTGAGGTATTTTAAGGTCTCTCAGCCCTTTTTTAAACTTTAGTGCTGCTTTGTGACAGATAATGTACAGACAATGTACACATGGCACCTATTGCACGTCTGTCCGTCCTGGGAGAGGGATCCCTCCTCTGTTGCTCTCCCTGAGGTTTCTCACATTTTTCCCTTTAAACTGTGGGTTTTCTCCGGAAGTTTTTCCTTGTACGATGTGAGGGTCTAAGGATAGAGGGTGTCGTATTGTCATACTGATATTCTGTACAAACTGTGAAGTCCACTGAGACAAATGTAACATTTGTGATATTGGGCTATATAAATAAATATTGATTGATTGATTGATAATGATGGGCTAGAGATACTCTACCTAAAAGATGATAAGATCGTAATGTAGGCTGATGTGTTCCCAGATAAAATACTTCATACAGAAACTCTACAAGGTTATTCTCATAACTTTAAAACTATTCATTATCTCTTTGTCACACATTCAACTGCATTTCCTAGTCTAAATAATGCCTTTTCTTGCTCATATGTTATTTTTAAACGTGGGTTTGTTTTGCTGCATGAATGCTATGTGACAACGTCCTGTAAGGCCAGCGGAGCCCGGATAATTATATTAGAGTGATTCTCAGGGAGTTTACGGCCCCGCCTCCTCAGCGGCAGGATGGAGTGGTTCCACTGAGGGAGACCTGATGTGAACCCTTATACATGTGATGTTTTGGTGTTTTGTTTCTTTCCGTTAACCGTTAAGTGGGAAATAAGTATTTTTGTGTGTGTGTTTCTCTTAGTATCCTAAGATACTGTTATGTTTGGCTGTGAAAAAAAAAAAAAAAAAAAAAAAAATTATTATGAAGGGCAGACCATCTATTTGTATTTATTTTGGTTTTTTTAGAAAGGGGCAGGTCACATAAGATTTTATTCTTCTCCCTGCTCCTTTTCACTCAATGGTAGAGTCATGTTTTGTGGCAATTATTGTACATTTGGTTTTGCGTACCATGAGCGGGACAAATAAAAATGAAATGAAACTTGGCGGCCCTGCCAGAAGAACACCAGCAGGTTTTCTGACTTCATGGGAGTATCCAGCCTCTGCTGGCTAAGGATCAATGGCTTTGGGCTAGAGCAGGGGTGGGGAATCTCCGGCCCCCGGGCCGTATACGGCCCGCGAGACCATTTAGTACGGCCCTCGAGGTAATTTATAAACACACCCAAAAAAGAAAAAAATGAATTAAATCTAGACCGCAAACAAATTAAACAAGCGAGTGCCTGTTTTTCCTGGCCAAGGTCAGGGTCCTTGAACACAACACGAGCCTAACGTGTCATCACGTGGGATATGTCTCGTCTGACAGGGGTGTAGTGCTGACGGAGAGCACCAGAACACCGCTCCGGCACTTCCAAAAATTGCAGTAGCCGTACACATGCCGCAGTTTTTGCGTGTCTGTGTCTTAGTTGAAAGCCCAGTGGCGATCTGTTCATGACTGTCATACTGATCATACAGTCAATAACTGTGTTGTTATTAGCATCTGGTTAGCTAGCTATGCTAACGAATATAAGAAGCTTTTTCTCCAACCAGTGAGGTAAAGGCACATCTTTATATGATCATTATTATAAAAAAATAAGATAATAAAGTAAACGGGTATAAAATACTATATGACAGTAAAAAAAAGTTGTTATTAATAAACAAGAATACAGTTTGAAAGGAGTGATTTGTAAAATGTCCATAAAGAAAAAGTAAATCTGTTTACAGTTCTGTTTCATCTGGGTGTTGAGAGATGTATCCATAGATCTCCTAATGTTGCTCTCAAAGTGCACCAAATTGATGCTTTTAACTTCAACATTTAAAAAATAATCTTCCCCCCGGACCCCCCTAGAGGAGGTTAGGTCCCCCCCCCCCACTTAAATCATGTCCACATGGATAGGAAACTAAATACATTTGCACACATCTTGTGTCCATATCTGTTTTGGTGTTCATGCCACAACCGTGCACGTGCATGCATCATCATGGTAAAATATCTGGATTAAGAGGTTGCTTTTTCTTTGCACAGCATGAAAGAAAGGCCAAATGAATGGGCTGTGATTTAAAAAAAATTAAGCAGAGGTCAATAATTTGTACGGCCCTCGGAGGATGTTGAAAAAATTGAAATGGCCCTTGAGAGGAAAAAGGTTCCCCACCCCTGGGCTAGAGAGTGCCCCGTGGGTATAGCATGCTTTTTGAGTGAGAGCGGCTGCCACTGAATGACAATGAATACATATTTCAATGAACTAGGGATAAGTAAGAGGAAGCTGCAATTACCTTGTCAACATACATTTGTGTCCATCACTGACATTTGACTATATAGATTTAGTTTGTGCATAAAATGGTCTCTGAATTCACTCGTTGAGTTCACCTGTGTCCTTCACGCTAAATGCGTTTTCTTGACATCCCGTCTCTGTGTGAGTGTGACAGCTTTGACACTAAACCTTAAAGACAGCATTTTTATATCTTTGCTCTAACCTTCACTGCTCTGTGTGTGCACCAAGGGCGTGACCCGCAGCTGGCCGGGCTGACTCAGCCAATCGGCATTCCATGCAAGGTGGAATTGTGCCGGCCCTTGTCCACCATCAACAAAGGAGATGGAGGGCAAGTGAGCGCAAAACAGGGGAGAGCTTTGAATAAAAACATGAGCGGAGTGTATCAATGATCCACATCGTCCATACATCATTACAATGAGAGGCGGTGCTTTACTGACATCCACATTCAAACATTAACTTCAAATCAAGCTTGCACACATCACGTTCACATGCAGATACACACAGTGCTCCTTTCCACCTCCCTCTGTCTCCTTTTCTCTGTCTTTCTCACACACACTCTCTCTCTCATACACTTCATAGGTATGTATAACACTCCCTCCACTCCTGGCTCCACGCTCCACCCTCAGTCCTAAAGGACAGGCTGGTTGACCCAGGAGGAGGGGATAAGGGGGAGGGAGGGGGAGGTAGGAGCAGACGGAGCTCAGATTCATTTCTGCTGGTGCTGCTGGAGGCACAGCACATTGCGAGAGCAGAACGTGACGCACACAGAGCCGGGACACGCACGGCTATCAAATGGATTAATTTTGACATATACTTGTGAACTCTAAGAGAGAAAGGACAATAGAGCCAGAAGGACTTGCACCGAGCTTGTAAAACTTGGTTGTCACACTGGCAGAAAATAAAAAAGCTACCTGGCTTTGATGAAGAAACACTCATTCAGGAGCCAGCTGATATCCCGCTGAGCGGAGGGACTTGGACTGACAGCACTGAGGATGTGAATGTATCGGGGACAATCTGGACCCCCTTCTGTCACACTGCACTGCACCACTCAAGTGGATCATAAGTAAGTGCTTTAAATGTACTCTATGTTAATTGCTTGATTGAATATTAAAGTGATTTTCATACTGTTTTTAGTACAAATACTTCTTGTAAAAATCCTCCAATAATTCTCCTCTAGTCCCTGAAAACACGTCACAGGGTGTGTAGGAACTTAAACTTGATCACTATGTGAGCAAATAGATTTGTTTACTGATGTACTAATGTAGGTCATCAACAGTATCTGATGTCCCACTGAGTATGACACTCAAGTATTTCACCAATGATTTATCTTCCAATTACTATAACATGTATACTTTAACATAACAATAGTAGGGTTTTTATTTACTTAATGAAAAATAAAGGAATCTTCTTAAGAAACAATGCCATCACGATACACGTGTTTCGGACACTATATATATATCTTACCTATTTTAAACATTGTAAAGACAATTGAAATCATGTTTTGGGAACATGTAGTTAGTTTAGATGTTAGGGGAATGTGTTAGTGTTAGGTGTTTTTTTGTATATATTTTTAAATGTAATATATATATATATTCACATAAATATGTTTGTTAACTGTTTGTGAACTAATTAATTAAATAAGGTATATTTAGAAAATGTCAAAAAGCTAGTTCCTTGCATAAGCTTGATGTATGATTTTAACATACACATTTTCTGAGTGAAGTCACCTGTTTATTTGATATGATTGAATATCACATTAGGTTGATTTGAAAAAAAACCTTGACACTTTATACATTAGAGCTTTAAGTGAAATAATGATATGCCCAGTATGTATGAATCATGCCCGTCAGCCCTCATTTCAACATATGTAATATATGTTAACATATACAGCACAGGCTGGTGTACTTGATTGGAAGTATTTTTTGGCACAGCCTAATTGAAAATGCATGTGGTCCTCCAAGTTTTTCCACAGATAAAAAAAGCTCAAGGGAGCCTCCAGGTTGTTCATGTGATTGACTCTCTCATGTAATGTTAATGGACTGTAATAGTGAAGGCGCTAAATGCTTTGTCCCGCAGACATCGAGACCAGAGCCAAACGCACACAGAGAAAAAAGGAACCGCGTGAGAAAGCCTACCATGCACTGACAACAAGGTGAGAGGCCATGGAGGCATATATATCTGTTATGTGTGTGTTTGTGTGTCCGTTTCTTTGTGTATTTGTGTGTCCTGCCCGTATTTTAAAATCTAAAAAGATCTTTAGATGAGTTAAAGAAGATGGTCAGTGTGCGCTGTGTGTTTATGGTACATACAAGTCTTCACCTTTAGTTAAAGTTAATTTATTGCCTGACTTGATATGTAAACAGAACATCTCATTAATGAGGAGATGGAAATGTCTCCCTTTATGCTTTTGATTCTCAGTGAAAGCCTCTAATGCAGCAGTTTGTCTTGTCAGTTTCCACTTGTGTAATAGCTATAAAAACAACTTTAAGAATCTCAGTAAAATACACAGATCACTGTTTGGCAGAAAATATTTTTGTGATTTACAGCAGGAAGTAATTTTGTATCAATCAAAGTGCCCTAGAAGAATGTTTCCAATAATCATACACTTTCCATGTTTTTTTAAATTTGGCACAATCTGCTATTCAAACTAAATTACTTCCTTGATTATAGTCCTATATCAGGAAAAAGCATCACCATCATCATAATTTCTACTATTTTCATTGTCAATTTAGTCTGGTCTCTGACAGGGAATGATTTCATTGTGTGGCATGGATCTAACCATTATAAGCCTCAAACGTCCAGGCCTGTTGTAGCGGATGTGGTATCACTGCCGCCCAGTTTCCATTCTTCAGGGGGAATACTCAGAATTGTATATCAGTTTTGGCTTATTTATTGTTTAGGTCACATGCTGGTAGCCAGTGCGCTGGTTAATGATATATAACTAGAACAACACTCAGTGGTCGTTTTAACAGGCTTTCAGTGCAGATAAGGGGACTTGGACCTTCTTTAACAGCACAGAGTTTGACCAAGCCAGTGTATTGTGGAAATAAACTCCTGCCCATGTTTGTGAAAACACAAAAAGATGAAATATGGGTGGTAATGGCTGTATCGGTGTGTGCAATGAGGCGTGGCCCCACATGATTAACTTTTAATGGGTTGTTTGGGCAAGAGAGTAAAATAACAGTGTTTATTTGTATTGCTCACAGGGGCTGCAGTCTGAAGTCAGGGGGCTTGAACCTGGGTGACACTCACTGAGAATGAAATCATGGACACAGAGCTGTGAATTAATGAGTACAGCAGGTTGCTCAACAAATGCAGGTTGCTCAACAAATGCTTCAATATATACAGAGAATCAACTTGTTATAGAAACACCTATTCAGATGTGAGAGCACCAATGGGGATCTCATTTAGAGATATGTGGAAAAGAAAAAAGCGTGGCCATATCTGCTTTATCATGCAGATGAAATGCTGCACTGCCCAGCGTGTGGCAACACACATGAGTCATTCAGACCTATATTGTGTAAGAATCTATCGATCAATATGTAAATAAAAGTCTCAGGCCACACTGACACAAGCAGCAAAGAATACTAAAGGTTAAGTATAGGGGTGTGATCTAGGGGTGTGATCTAAAGCTTCATTGATACAAGTATTTTCAGTTGGCTTGGATCAGTGGTTCTCAAACTTTTTCTGCCATTCCCCACTTTGAACAGGTTCGCCTTTTCAAGCCCCATCTATCGTGAGCTACTTTTACTCCTCTTTTTTTTGCAGCATATTTTAACATTATTATATGCTTACCTTTAACCTTTGTGTGCTGTTTGGGTCTGTGGGGCCCGTTTTCAGTGTTTACTAAAATAAAATGTATGCAATTTAATTATTTTAACCTGCTTTATTTGGGGGTGGACCTCACATCCTCAGAGGTGCCCAGTACGTCGACCGCGGGGGCAATGCTGGTAGATCGCGAGTCATTCATAAAAAAAAAATCCTGTTCCGTTAAAATAGACAAAACAGGTTTTGATCCCTCCTCCCTTGGCCTCCTCCCTTGGCCTCTTCAGGAGTTTACTTGATTGACAGAAAAAGCGACCTATCGCTTTCCAGTCTGTTAACCCAGAATGCAAAGCGATACAAAATCAGTCAAGTGCCGGGAAAACTCAAATTAAGTTAAAGAGACAAACAACAAAATGAGTGCGGGACCGAGCAAGAAGCTAAAGACATACCACTTCCACCCAGAATGGGAGGAAGAATATTTGTTTGTGAACCGAAACAACATCCGGTTTCACTATGAGTGGTCGCATTTTCGAGAGCTCCCGCTTTGGCGGTTATTCCTCACGATTTTTTACATATTTCATCCTCCTGACAATATGGATTATGGACTCCTACCTCAACTCATCAATGAGGCAACATCACTTAGAGAAGGAGAGTAATGAAAGCGGGGATAAAATGAACCACAATGACTTTTACCTTCTCAACGGCTGGGAAAGGAAACACCTCGCTTTTGGAAGTGCAAGCATTCATGCATTATTAACTGCAAACCCGACGCGAAAGTACTTACCCCCGTCAGGCAAACTAGACCGAAGAAGTATGATCGTCTTGGTCTTATTGTTAGCGGGAGACATCCATCTGAATCCGGGCCCGGTGCAGACAAGAAGCCAGTCCTGCAGGCTCGAGGAGCTAGCATCTCAATTAGCATCAGAACTAGCATCTCTTCCGCTGCAACAACAACTACGCGACGACAACAGAGACCGTGGAGACAGCGGAGACCAAGGAATAAACGGAGACTTCGAGATTCCCCCGGGGACGCCTCGGCAGACAGACACGCATGAGGCAGTGACGAGAGGAAGAGAACCGAGATCCGAGGGAACAAATATCCGCCATGTTGTTAGCCACCCTGCTAGCATATCAACGGCTAAAGCTACAACGGAGTCTCCCTCCCCCCACCCCCACCCCCACCACCACCACGACAAGCCGGTTGCTGTAACGGACAAAGACAAATATCTGCAAGCTGACGACATTGTGCATTTAAGCAACAAAAATGGACTACATATTTTTCATCTGAACACTAACAGCCTGAGACACAAACTGGCTGAACTCAGGCAGCTATTCATGAACGGTAAGGCAAGCATATTATGCTTTTCTGAGACCTAATTGGACAATAGACCTATCGCTAAGCCACGCCCCCCTTTGAAAACTCGGACAAACAAAGCCGACCGTGAATGACTCTTGACAATGGCCGCGGGGGGAGTTCAAGTTAAAATAACATTAAAATAGAAGCAAGAGCTAATAAAAGCAACAGCAGATGAAAGTTAACAGTTAAAAGCAAGAGTAAAAAGGTAGCCATGTATTTCTTTATATAAAATATCTAATCTTGTTGCCTGTCGTGTGTAGTGGTGACTGTTGTGTAACCATTGAAATGATAATATGATGTTGAATGTTAGCAGTGGTGGTCACTACATTAAATCTATAACTATAACTGTCCTTGTTGGTCATCATTTTCACTGTTATGCACCTGGCTGACTGTAGCGTTACCTTTTTTTTGGGTGAGGGTCTGTGTCTTTTCGGAGCAGCACACACGAGAGCCCGGATGGGATCTGATATTCCAGAGTTGGCTTCCCATCTCTGAAGTGCTTTGAGGTGAAAAGACAATTAGCAAAAGTTAGCTAAAAACACCAGCTAACTAGCGAGGACGAAAAGTCAGACAGCAAACGTTGATATTGATAACACTGTAGCTAGTTAGCTGGCTAACAAGTTGGCAGCTAACGTTAGCTAGCTGGGCTGGATATACGCTAGCTAGTTGGCAGTCAAAGTCAATCGTTAGCAAACTAATAGTTTGGTCTACGTTTCTAATACATACCGTCAAATATGATGTCTTTATGAATTGACCTTACCTTTGAGCAAACATAAGTGTCCTTGATAATTGTCTTCACATTCAGTTGTGTATGTGGTTGACGACACAGCATAATCCACCGCTTGCATTTGTCGAGTTTTCTTTTGGGCTTCGGAAAAGGTACGAAATATACTCCTCCATCCAGTCTTTCAGGGTACCTGGTGTCCGAATTACAGGTACCCCACGCACAGCGTTTCACCATCAGATATTAGCTAGATAATAAACATATAAACTGAACTCTTCACAGTGGTTTCGATCACAGACGTCTGGTTTTGGTTTGATGCGCCCCACAAACGGCTTTTCTGGTGATGTCCGAGTTTTCTGTCAGGAGGGATTTTCGCTGTGATATGATTGGACAAATTCTATTTGGGGCGTGGTTTAGCGATAGGTCTATTCCATTACAGATTCAGAGATTGAAATTGAAGATTATCTTGTAGTGAGAAGGGACAGGAACGTGAATGGAGGTGGTGTCTGCATGTACATACATAAAGACACCAATTTCAAAAATCGTACTGACCTGCATCATGAAAATATTGAATCTGTGTGGGTTGAAATTATTTTTGACAATGCTAAATCTGTAATAGTCGGGACAATCTATAGACCACCGGAACAGAGTGACTTTTATGATACATTAGATGGGTGTTTGGCTGATGTGGGGGATGTAGAGACAATTATTATTGGAGACTGGAACACGGATATGCAACGTAAAGACACGTCCGTCTTCAAGTCCTTCAGTAGGATTTGTGATCTGCACGGCTTCAGCCAGCTAATCACCCAACCCACCCGGGTATGTGAAACAACACAAACTACCATTGATCTCATTCTGACCTCTGACAAGTCCAGGATCTCCAGTAAAGGGGTTATAGCATGCGGGTTAAGTGATCATTATATGATATTCTGTACCCGCAAAAAGCTAAAACAAAGGGCCGGCTGTCACAAAACAGTCCTATCTAGAGACCTCAAAAACTACTCTAGCGAGGCCTTTAACCTAGAACTGGAGAGCCTGGACTGGTCAGATGAGCTCAGTGGTACACAAGTTGAAGAAACATGGCTTGGTTTCAAAAACAAATTCTCTGCAATACTCAATGATTTGGCCCCCCTAAGAACAACCAGGGTAAAAAATCGCGCTGAGCCGTGGATGCACTCCGGCACACTGACCGCCATGAAAACCAGAGACAAAAAATGCTCTGAGTTTCATAAAAGTCAGTCAATGCTTTCCAAAAGCACGAGCAGTGAACTCCAGGCCCACGTGACTGAACTCAAAATTGAAA